GATGATGATGATGGCGATGATGATGATGGCGATGATGATGATGGCGATGATGATGATGATGATGATGATGATGATGATGATGATGATGATGATGATGATGATGATGATGGCAATGGAAGTAGAGGAGCAATTGTTTGTACTGTGATATTAAGCTGACCATAGTGGTAGATGCAAAAGCATCAGGCAGCTCACAAGTGAGTCACTTCGAGTGGTTTCCAAGCAAAGGGCAGGATGTGATGATTGAAGCCATCAAGGTGAGATCCACTGCTCACATCCTCTGCTCATTCATCCTCTGCTCATTCATCCTCTGCTCATTCATCCTCTGCTCATTCATCCTCTGCTCATTCATCCTCTGCTCATTCATCCTCTGCTCATTCATCCTCTGCTCATTCGGAAGCAGCGAACTGGCGTTGGCTCCTCCGACAGAATCCTCGATGTTGGATGCGGCAGCTCTCGTCTCATCTGGGACCTCTGCGACGGTGAAGGCGGGTGAAGGCAGCGAGCGAGGGGAGGGAGTGTGGCTGTAGGGGGAGGGAAAGAGGGAGGGTGGGTGGGTGGGTGGCTGTAGAGTGAGGACGTGATCAAGGCTGTAGAGGGATACACGCGAGTGATCGGCATCGACTTCAGCCCAGTCGTCATCAAGAAGCTCCAGGTAAGAGTTGACATGCTCCTTCTTCTGCCCCCCTCGACTGAGTGCAGACGCTGCTGCAATTCACCTTTCTCGTCTTGCTGGGGGTGAGGGGGGTGACGGGACCCTGCAGGCTGAGCGGGAGCAATGCGCAGGCGCGAAGGAGCAAACTCTGCACCTCTTCCACATGGACGCAGCAGCCCTCGCGTTCTCCGACGCCTCCATCGCTCTTGTCCGCTCGCCTCTCCTGTTCACCCGCTCCTCTCACACGCGCCAGGTCGTCGACAAGGGGCTCCTCGACTCCGTCCTGGCCGTCCATGATCGGCGAGAGCTGTGGAAGCGAAGTGGCAAGAAGGTTGGCGATCCACCGGGGCGGATCTGTTCTCATGAGCCGGAGGATTGCAGGAGGCACAAGATCCCTTCCTGAAGAGAGCGGCGAGAGAAGCAGAGGAGAAAGGAAGGAAGGTCTTGGTGGAGCTGCGCAGAATGTCAGAGCGCATGGGATTGCTCATTCACGGCACTGATGCTCTCGCAGACTCAAGAGCGACGGGGTATACCTGGTGGTCTCCTATGAGGAGCCGACTTACCGGATGCCGTTCCTGCGACAAGCATCAGCAGAGGGCGAGCAGCTATGGAGGGAAGTGAGCTGTGAGACGTATGATGAGGACAACAGATGGTTTCTCTACACGTGCAAAGCTTGAAGATGCCGACCCAAGGCTCCAGCACGATAAGGCGCTTCCGATCGGATCACTTGAGTCAGCCTTGCGGATACGGGAGATCGGAGACAGGAGGGAGTCCCGTCCAAAAGCGACGCCGCTGTGTTCGTGCTCCCTTGTCAGACTCTGGCTTGAAGCCCTGAAGCCTTGAACTTCGGAAGCCCTGAAGCCCTGAAGCCTTGAAGCCTTGAAGCAGCCCCATGCCGCAGTGCTTCTGAGTCCGCCATGCCATCGTCGCCGGAGTCGAGTACTGCCACGCCGGGCACGCGGCAGCACTGCGCTGGCTGCGGCCGCCGGGCCGGGCGGCCGCCGGGCCCCGCGCGGCCCGACTGACTCGGAGTGACTCGTGACGGCGCGGCGGTCTCTGTGACGGACCGAGCCTGGAGCCTGGACGGGCCCGACGGTCACACGCACGGTCCCCGGCGCCGGGCCAACTTGCTTGCATGACTGGCGGACTCAGCTCACTCGGATTTCCTGCCACTCTCCGAGCCAGTCACAGTGAGACGGTCGAGTACTTGAAACGCCCGCGGCCGCCGCACGGTGCGGCGATCGGCGGAGTGCCTGTACCGCACCGTACTAGGCTGGCAGGCGAGGCCCAGGCCGGGCTCCGACACGGTGAATGCGGACTCAGGACGGCGGTCTCACTGAGGCCCCGGCGGGGCCGGCGCCGCGGCGTAGTTCACGCGTACGTGCCAGTGACGGTCCGATGATCATGCCGGGCCGGGCCGGTGGTGGTCGCGGCCCACCGTCACTGACCGCTGCGGCTGCGGCTGAGCGGCCCGGCCCGCCCGGTTCCGAAGTTCACGGTGGCACGGTAACCCGACTGTAGCCGTTACTAAATAACTGCCATCACTGAGAAGTTAAAAATCAGTGAGGGCGAGCGAGGGGGTGGGGTGGTAGAAAGTTTAACTCACGAGGGCATATTTAGGGGTGGGGGTTACATAATTATTGTTGATTAGGGGTAGGGGTTATTCAGTACCGGTTAGTTCAAGTAAAATCTCCTCATGGATTCTGGGTAGGGTAAAGGACTAGGAGTGGGGTATTTTGATAGAGGTGGTCAAAAGTGGATTCGATGTAGTAGTCGGGTCTCTGATGATTGCTTTACTCGAAAGGTCATCCAGGTATGGTGGGGTAGGGTCCTGGGTGTAAATGACGGGTGATCTCCCATATGGTAATACGGTCTGAACCGTAGAGGGTAGGGGTGGGCCAGATAAAATGTGTGAAACCATTTTTTGTGTATAATGCCGGGAAGAGTCGGATGAAGAGGCCTTGAAAGGTAGGTAGGGGTGGGAGATAGAGGGGTTTGATGGCCCTCCTAGGGGTAGTGAAAACTTGGTATGGAATGGTACCGGTACTCAAATGTTAATGTCCGACAATTTATCCTCAAATGTACCGGGGGGTTATTAACGCTGAGGTCCTCCTGGGGTGGGTATACCTCGGCATGTGGGGTTTCAATCGATTCGAGGTCGAAGTGGGGGGTGGGGGGGTACAGTAGTAGTGTTGATATGGTGGTATGGAGATGAAAGTTACCGAGTGTTTTAACTCCGAAGACCACGGGGTGGGTGGTTTTCTACCAGCCATGGGGGAAGAGTCATGGAGTCTAGGGGTAGGGTAGACCAATCAAGATTCATCGAAAGAGGGTGGGTGGGGTACAGGCTGAGTGTAAGTGGGGTAGACGAGGTGGTTTTACAAATCAGCTCCGGAGACCCGAATGGTACCGAAATTGCTAGAGGGTGGGTGATCACATGGGAAACATGTGGGTAGAAAAGAATATTGAGGGGAGGATGCCCCAATGGCGTGGGTATGTCGTCTACTATGGTCGGTGGTTGGAAAAGAACGATATTGGTATGGTGGGGTACTTTCAATTGGTGGGAGGGGTACATGAATAGGAAATTGAATACCCCGTTTTTCAAGCTATGGGGAGGGGTACTGAACCACGTGTGTATGATACATTTTCCCTGGTGGGTGTGTAAATGAGGGTACAAGAATTGAAACGAGGGTGCTATGTCTGAGAATGAGGGGTCCTGGATTTCTCAGTAGGGTACGGAGACAAGAAGTAGGGGAGTGGATTCACGCAAGGCATTCCTAGGCTCTGACCGAGAAAGACTGGGGAATAGGGGGGTAGGGTGTGGGGGTAGAGATGATAATGCTAGTCAAATTGAGGGTAGGGGTACCTGGACACAGGTGTGGTTTATATTGTTGATATTTTCAACGGGTGCTGACTTCTTCGAAGGGGTACTGTTATCAAACGGATCTCGGGGTGGGTAGGAAGGGGGGTCATAACAATCGTGAGATGTGGCTGTATGGGGGGGTGGGATAGGAAAAGGACAAGTGGTAACCGTAGGTGGTAGGGGGCGTATGGAGGTAGGGTGGTCGAGAGGGGTGGTCGAGAGGGGTGGTCGAGAGAGGGTGGGTAAATTGTTTGTTAGAGGTGTTCAGGGCATGAGGGGAAGGGAGGGCAGGGAGGCAGAAGAGGAGGAGGGAGAGGAAGGAGGACGAGAGAGAGTGAGAGAGAGAATGACAGTCATCATCCCCACCCATAGCTCTCACACCCATCCCAACAGAGCGCCTGTGCCACTCCCCTCCATCTCGCCCCAGCGATTGTCAAAAGTTCGTGATCAATTCCCGGTTCCAAAGTATGAATCTCGCAGCACGGAGGGCGAATCTGAAGGACTAGGACGCGGAAACGAGTCTGTCAACTCGACAACTACAACTGTCATCCAGCTGCCACTAGCAACGCAACCAGCCCAAGTTGAAACGGGCGCATTGTGGTGGCTGGCAGATTCACAGCAAGGGACCAACAGTCATATCAACGGCGAGCTATCAGAGGCTGAACTTCTTGAGCCCTCAGGCACTGTACAGGAGAAAGAAGCAAAGTGCCCCTCATCCAATGGTGCTGACCCCCATGCTGATCCCTTGCATGTTGACAGCGATTGCCTGCATTCGAGGCACATTTTTTCCGAGGAAAGGCTGTTGAATATTGTGGTTGATGGGGCAGAATCAGAGCGTTCAGTGATGGCTGAAGGAAACATACGTGGAGACATTGTTTTTGACTACATGAGCTCTCTATCCGCTACTCCAGCTCCTTCTCGGGCTGCGGTACAAGATTCCGATGACACCACGGAAGCAGTAGAGAGAAAGCAGAAGAGGAAACTTCAGGGCACGGAAACTTTGTCGGCAGGGGATTTCATCTATCCTTTCACTGAGGCTCGTTACATTGAACAGCATGACATCCTTGAAGATGGCCTCGTTCCGGACCAGAGAGCAGGCCCACCACCCTCGCACATGATGCTGCATGCCCGGAAGCTCGCTGTGCGACATCTTCCACAGATGGACGCTAATGCCAGATGCGATCCTTTCCTCGTGCTCTCCTTCGATCAGCAGAAGACGTCCACACATGTTGCAAAGAATGTCTACGAGCACGCGTACCATGAAAGCTTCGAGTTCTTCGTACACGAGATGCAGTTAGAATTTGCCAAGAGTTTGCAAGTGAATGAGGGAGCGTCGTGTGGCATCGCACTGGTGATCGAATGTTTCGACTGGGACCTGTTAAGTGCCAACGATTATGTGGGGAAGGTCTCTGTGGACTTGATTGTCCTCTGCTCCCTCGAGAACGTGCCGAAGCTTTTCACGTTTGTTCTCAGCACCTTGTCTGGGGATCCGGTCATGGGGCATGACGGGTTGCCATGTGAGGTAGATGTTGAGCTGCAGATGCAGCCGATAAATAGAACCTGGTCTCCTCCTTCCTTGTCCAAGTCTCTTTCTCTCTGTGAGTTTCGGCCTGAAAGCCGCGACATGAGCGATTCGATGCTGCAGCGGACCTCGACGATCGCGGCGGGCTACTTCTTCCACAAGAGCAGCCACTCGTTAGCAGGGTCCATGTCGTACCAGAATCAGGATCTCCCGCTGGAAACTGCGAGGAAGGAATCTCAGTCGATCTCAAAGTTCCCCTCCTGGACACCGGAGCTGCAGATGCCCGAGATCGAGGACCTGTTTGCAGAGGCCGAAGAGAAAGACATTGACTACGGGGAAGAGCCGTCGGAGTTCTACTGGCGAGAGAGGCTGGAGAAGGCGATGGAGTCTATGTGGGTGAACATCATGGTGTTGGTGCTCGTCATGGTGGACCTCTCAAACATCATGATCTACACCTTCTATTACTCGTCGGACTCTGAGCAGCCTTGGCAGACTGCGATCAACTTCACCGTGATGTCTCTCTTTCTTCTCGAGCTCTCACTGCGGCAGATCGCCCAGCGCATGCGTTTCTGGTCCAACATGTGGAACATCTTTGACTTCGTGGTCATCTGGTTGAGCACGGGGGTCCTGGTGAGGCCCGAGCCTTGATGATGATATGTCTGATACTTGATGATGATATGTCTAATACTTGATGATGATATGTCTGATACTTGATGATGATATGTCTGATACTTGATGATGATATGTCTAATACTTGATGATGATATGTCTGATACTTGATGATGATATGTCTGATACTTGATGATGATATGTCTGATACTTGATGATGATATGTCTAATACTTGATGATGATATGTCTGATACTTGATGATGATATGTCTGATACTTGTTGCCTCGCAGGTCACCAAGTACATCTTCGAGTCTCAAAGCGGAGTAGCCAGCAGCCTTCAGTCTACGAAGAACACTGCGACGAGCTTGCGAGTGTTCTCCAGGATTGCGATGGTCATGCGATTTGTGCGCGTCCTTGTGACGGTGAGGCGGGCGAGAATGCTGAGCGGAGCAGTCAACCAGAAGCTGAGGAAGGCAGTTTCTCAGGTAAGGACGATGAATGATGTGCCTGTCATCTGACAAGTTTTGGAAGAACAAGAGAAGATACAAGAGGCATGGCTACAACCTGGACCTCACGTACATCACAGATAGGATCATCGCCATGTCAGCTCCTGCATTTGGTGGTCACACGGCCTTCCGTAACGACATTCACATCGTCTCGCGCTTCCTTTCTCAGCGGCACTACGGGAAGTTCTTCATCTTCAACCTCTGCGACACCTACAACTCATCCGACGGCGTCATGGGGAACTATCACCCGCAGCTGCTCTTCAACCAAGTGCAGAGGATCCCGTTCGAAGATCACGCGCCTCCCCTCCTGTCGGAGCTCGTCTTCATGTGCCAGGAGTCTTGCGCGTGGATGGCGAGGGACCGGCAGAACACGATAGCAGTGCACTGCAAGGGAGGGAAGGGGAGGACGGGCGTTATGATCGCCGCCCTCCTCCTTTGGACTGGGCATCGAAGATGCGCGCTGGACGCGCTAGAGCTCTTCACGTACCGGAGGACGCAGGACTACAACCCCGAGGACGGGCTAGACGAGGACATGGAGGACGGGGTGGGGAGGAGGAACGTGAAGCACAATCAGGGGGTGCAGGGCCCGAGCCAGCTCCGGTACGTCTACTACCTCGAGGCCGTGCTGTACAGCGGGGTAGACCCTTGGAGTGTCAAGTATCGGTTCATGGAGAAACTCACCTTGCACTGCAATCGCTTCATGGAGAAGTACAAGTCTTTGCGCATGAGGTGAAGGGCCTGCCCCTCGCTTGCTCTGCTTGAACTCCCTTGCCTTGCCTCCCTCTCCTCCTCTCACCTTCCTCACTCCCTTCTTCATAATCCTTCTTTTCGCTCTCCTTCTCTTCTCTCTCTGTCCTCTAGGCTGCCTGCTCACTCTAGCACTTGCAGCTTCGTCGTGAGGTGTCAAAGGACGGTCGTGCACGACTCTCTTGACTTCGGGCCTCCGCAAGAGATTGTCAAGACCAAATCAGAGCGCTATGGGGTCAACATTGAGCTCAACACTCAGATCTTGATCTGGACAGACGTCAGGATAGACTTTTACATTCACCCGGTCAGTTTTTCTTCCCCGCCTCCCCTTGTCTTGTTCTCCCTTTCCAAGGTTGACCTGTAAACTTGCTCCAGACCCTCGGGATGAATGCGAAACGGAAGCTTGCTTTCTTCGTCATGTTCCACACGTCCTTCTACGAGGGCAGCAACGTCATCATCTTCCGCAAGCGCAACGTGGACATGCTGCACAAGGACAGCTCCAACCAGCTGGTAGACCCGACGTTCCACATGAAAGTCCACCTGAAGCCGGAGATGAAGCACCTCTGCTTTGAAGGGGAGGCGAGCGACCGGCTGATCGAGGCGCAGATCAAGTCGTTCCAGCTCATGTTCGTGCATAACGAGTTCGCCATCACCTTGAACCTGCGCAAGGGAGAGTTCCTGACCAAGGAGTCGTTCCGAGACGACTATGTCTACTTCATCCAGCAGGGGGCCGTCGAGGGCATCGTGCAGGACGACAGCAGCGGGATGGCGCACTTTCACAGCCTCGGCAACAGCATCCCCGACGAGAACAACCGGCAGAACCTCCGCGTCCCCATCCTCTGCATCTTCGGCTCCGGCTCCTTCGTGCCCGGGTCAGACTTTCTCTATGACGGGAACTTCATGAGCCTGCGAGCTCGCGAGGACAACACGCGGGTCGTCTGCCTCGTCAAGCGAGGATGTGCCTTGCGCGCATACCAGGAGGAAGGACAGACTACAAGCATGGTCCAGCTCTCCTTTTGCCGCTCTGTCCTACAGTAAGTCGATCCTCCTGCCGTCTCTCCTCCTGCCCTCTCATCTTCTCCCTCTGTTGCGGGGAGGCGAGAAATCACTTATGAAGGTTCTGACATCCCTCGCAGAGGCGTGCTCAAGAAGCGGGGATGGTACAACGTAGCCTGGAAGGATCGCTACTTCGTGCTAAAGGGGCAGAAGCTGGAGTATTACTCGAGCGAGGAAGCGTTCAAGAGCAACCAGGGCGCCAAGGGCATCGTGAACCTGCGCGACTGCAAAGTGTCGGAGCACACGGACAACTCGTGTGTGTGGGCGTTTGCGATCCAAGATGTCATGCAGAATCGTATTTTCTACTGCAGCGCATCGAGCGAGCAGGAGCGTGAGAAGTGGATGTTTCAGATCCAACAAGCATCCAAGATCATCAAGAAAGGAGACATGAGTGTGGTGGAGGAGGAAGAGATGTACAAGATCTCATCGCCCTTGAGGAACAAAAAGTTTTCGATCCGCATGCTGATGACGCCACAGGAGGTGCAGGAGGGGAGCATGAGCGACCAGGCGAGAGACCGCGAGCTGCTGAGGATGAACAAGATGAGGTGCGGGGAGGGGATGGCAGACATCGAGAAGATCTCGATCGAGGGGCTGCGGACAGCAGGAGAGACGAGCTCCTTCTACAAGTCCCTCAGCATCCTCCTCGCCATGCGCCTCGACCGCATCCAGATGGACATGATCCGCATGGCCTCCCTCAAGGCTCTCAACGATCGCTCCGTCCTCCCCGAGCAGGACGCAAAGGAGCGGCTACGGGCGCACTGCATCAGGATGTTCGGGTTGCCGCTGACAGAGCGGCTGCTCAAGACGTTCAAGTGCAAGTTGAGGCAGCCGACGGTCCGCAGGGAGGTGAAGATGAGGATCATTTTCTTCACCAAGTTCGTGATCCTCGACCCGCTCATCTACGGGCCCGTCATCGACTCTCAGTCGCGCCTCATCCCCCTCTCCTGCCTGGAGAGCGTCGTCTTCAAGGATCGCTACCAGCAGACCGCCCTCATCATCCGCGTCTCCAGGGAGGGCGACGGCTCCTCCGTCCTCTACGACACCATCGAGCTCTCGCTGGCCTCGGCTCATCGCGCCTTCCAGGTCTTCAGCCTCCTCAAGCGCAACATCACCCTCCACAAGGCCGGCAGCAGCACTGAAGCCGCTCACCGCCAGCCCTCCTTCGCCAGCATCCTCGACCGGTACGGCAAGGTGCACCGGCTGGAGCGAGGAAGCGAGTTCGCGCTCGCGCACAAGGCGGCGAGCATCTTCATGGTGTTCTCGGGGCAGGTGAAGCTGAAGCGGCTGGATGACGTTTACAAGATCCTGGACAGCGGAGCTTGCTTCGGGCTGACCAACTTCGTGCAGCAGAAAGCGTCTGGTCATTTCCATGCTCAGGTGGGGGACCATGGGGCCATCATCCTAGAGATCCCGCGGGAGGTGAACGAGCTCTTGGAGGATGGGGAGGGGGTAGGCAGCACGCAAGCAGAGTTCTTCCATGCTGTCTGCGTGCTCCTAGAGCGAGAGATCAGGTGAGCAGCCTCTCCCTCCACCACCTCCTCCTCCTCCTGCTCCTCCTCCCGTTCCTCCTCCTACTCTCTTCCCATCGCCACTTGCTCCTCCCTCCTCCCTGTCGCATGACTTGCTCTCCTCGGCGTGCTGACAAGGAAGCAGGGATATCCTCCGGCAGGTCTTCTCCGGCACCTGGTGTCACGCTAAGGCTGAGATAGCTGGTGGGCACGTGGAGTAGCTTGTAGATAGATTGTATTATACCACCTTGAATCCTCCTCCTCCTCCTCCTCCTCCTCCTCCTCCTCCTCCTCCTCCTCCTTCTCTCCCTCCTCTCCCTCCTCCTCTCCCTCCTCCTCCTCTCCCTCTTCCTCCCTTCGCCCCCCATATCTCCTTCATCGTCTCGGTGAGCCACTGCCAGCATCGCCGCTCTCTTCACCTCCCTGGTTCAGCATGGAGCTCCACTCGAGGCTCCCACTCTCCTCCGACCTGCGGGAGTCAGCGGCATGCCGAGCAGCTGCTGTCGACCTTCGCGAGTCCTCGTGGATCAGCGGGAGCGTCGAGACCCTGGGCGAGAAGAAGGCAGGCGGCAGGTCCTGCGAGGGGTGAGAGGAGGAGGAGGAGACAGTGCACACCTGCTCCCTCTGATCTCTCAGCAGCTGAGCCTCCACTGGCACATTCCCTGCACCAGCTCTTCATCACCTTCTCCTTCCTCGTTTCCTCCTGCGCTCCCCAGCTCTCTCCCCTTCCTCGCCTTACCGTTGGATCGCATTCCCGTGAGCCTTCCCCTCCCCTTGTCCACCTGCCCCCCGTCACTTCCCTGCCGTCGCTTCTTCCCCTCCTACCACTAGTACGTGCAGCCCAAGCCGGTTGCCCCACTCCACGTTGAGCCTCCCCTGCTCATCCAGCCACCTGAGATACCCATCAACCTTACTGCCATCCCCGTCACTCTCCTCTTCCTCATTCCCCTCCCCCTCCCCCTCCCCCTCCCCCTCCCCCTCCTTTCCCTCCTCGTCTCTCCTCTCTTTCTTCATCTCACCAGTGTGCATGTTGTCCAGCAGAAGGCGCTTTGAACGAGCCTGTTTCTCTCCTCAGCTTCTTCACGGCAACTTCTCTGAGCTCACCATCGACGCAGAGCTCAGCGACCCCCTCAGCCTGCCCCCCAGCTGACCACTGCCACCTGCTCTTCGTCAAGCTCCACTCGGCCATCCAGCTGGGCGTTACCGTGACCCGAAGAGCCAGTCTGAAGCAGCGCCGCCTGCTAGCGGCAGCCGCGGGGACGCGAGGATGCGTGGAGACGTTTGAACCATCTGAGGGGCAGCAGGAGGAAGCAAGCTTCAGACTCTCATCCTCGAGCTGTAGAATACTCCTACCTGAGATCTGCTGGCATGCAGGTACGAAGAAGGAAGCGGCTGAGACGAAGAGGGAGGAGACACGCGGCTTGAGGGCCCAGCCTCACCTTGCTTCTCCTCCTGTCAGAGCTGACTCAGCAACGGGAAGGAAAGCAGATCGGAAGAGACTGCGGGCGAGAACAGCCGAGTGGTAGGAGAGGGCGCGAGGTTGGGCCCGGACTCAACAGCTGACTCAAGCATGCTGCCGTCTTGTGGTTGTGAGAGGATGGGGGGGTAGGAGCTTATTGGCAGGGGCGGGAGCTGAACCTGCTCAATGATCACAACTAAACAAAAAAATCAAAAAACTCTTTGCTCGCCCACCTGCACTCCCCATCCCCCACCACCAGCGCCACCACCTCCTCCCTTTACTTGCGGCAAGTTGACCTGCAGGATGTCACTGGCAGCTCTTGCTGTCCTCCTCTTACCCGTCTCGTCTCCTCCTCGAACTGCCGAGTGACCGCGCGAGCGTGTGAACTCGAAACGATCCTCGCGCTGGCTGCTCGGATGGAGGCATGACGATCGAGAAGCTGGATGGAAGAGGCAGGTCAGAACAAGAACCCTCGCCCTCAACCCTCAACCCTCAACCCTCCACCCTCAACCCTCAACCCTCAACCCTCAACCCTCAACCCTCAACCCTCAACCCTCTTCGTCCTCCTCTCTTGTCCCTTCCCATCTCTTGGTTGCCTCACGTCATTGAGTTGAGCTGCTTTGACGTGGAGCGGGACAGACGGCGTCCCCTCCTACCAGCCTCCTCTCAGTTTCGTACACCAAAAGTCAGCCCGACCTTCAGCTGCCGCTCCGCTTCCGTGCTCCCTGCTGCGCAGGAGAGTGAGACAGGAACGAGACCCTCAGCGCCTGACCTCGCTTGAGGTCGACGACCTCCACTGTCTTTGCTCGTGTCTCCGCAGGAGCATAAGCGTGCCGAAGACGCTCACGCTGTACACAGTAGATTAAAACATTTAGGGAAAAGACGAGGAGGACAAGGAAAACGAAGAAAAGGAAGGATATGAGGAAAAGGGGAAGGGTACCTGCAGATATCTCCAACAACAGCAGAGAAGGAGGAGGAAGAGGAGAAAGACGAGAGAAACAAATGCTGTCCACACCTAAAACATTCACCCCTCAAATTTCAACACAATCAGGAGTCAGACAAGAGGAGGTGACTTGGGTGAGAAGTGAGACGAAGGAGAAGATTTAGTCAGGCTCGCACAGAGGACGAAGCGAGCCTGACTAAATCAAACTACAAATCGTTGGGAGATAAGGAGGAGGGAAGAGAGAGAATAAGAACAAGAGAATAAGAACAAGAGGATGAGAACAAGAGGATGAGAACAAGAGAATGAGAACAAGAGAATGGGTACCGCCAACGGAGCTCCTGCACACCTCAAAGTCAACGCCGAGGACAGGGGCCATGTACTTATCACCTTGACGCAACCTTTCCTTCTCAATCACCAGAAGCTTCTCCTCCCTAACATCGGGGATTCAGTCAGAGCCAGAAAGAGACGGCTAGCGGCCCCGCCTCGTTAGCTCGCGGTTCTCTCGCTCAACTTCTCGCTGCAGCTGCTGGTCCATCTGCAAGCAACATGACCTCGCCTCTGACAACACGCCCTCTCCTCTCCTCCTCGACCTGCTGCAGCTTCCAGTCCAAGTCTGCCTCCCACTGCAGCACTTGTCTGCCATGCTTTCACTTCTCCTCCTCCTCTTCCCTCGCTTGCCTGTCGTTTACTCCGCCATTGCTTGCATCGACAGACGGGATCTGTACGTGGAAATGATCTCATGGGCCAGCGACTGGGCGAGCACTTACCAGGAGCGGGTCTTGCTTCCAAGTCGCTGCAGACCGCACATCCTCCCGCACATCCTCCCTGTCCTTTTCGCCTGCCTCTTCCACATCTGGTCGCTCCGATGCTTCTTGTCTCTCTTCTTTGGGGGCTCGACGTCAACGTCTTATCACTCCGATCTCTCGCTCGCACCTGCTACGTGCTTCTTCTCTTGATTCAGCGCTTGTGGCAAGACAAACTTCTCGAAGATGTTGGGCTGAAACTCTAGAGTTCCACCTCTTTCAGACAATCTTGCAGTCCCGTTTCTCAGTACCTTCAAGGCTTTGACTTCGGTGGCGAGAAAGCTCCTTCAGCCTCGAATATCTGAACATGTCTCATCGCTCATCGCACATCGCACATTGCTCATCGCTCATCGCTCATCGCTCATCGCTCACCTGTGAAGTCTCGATGCCTGAGACTTCTTCAAGTCACTTGTGGATTCCTGGAGAAACTTCAGAGGGCAGACAGCAGGAGCTTGTTGCTGCCTCAAGCGACGAACGAGAATGATGTTGAGAAGAGGCAAAGACGAATGCCAGCACGCAGGCTCCTGTGGGGTCATACAGTCACGGGTACAGTCACGGGGCCTAGAGGCCTGCGAGGTGGACCTGCGAGAGCAGCAGCTACAAGGCGAGCAGGAGGAGCCATGAGGAGCAGCGAGATCTGAGCTCAGTCTCCTTCACCTCCTACCTCGCATTCCCCCCCAGCCACCAGATCTATTTCCGGAGATATCAATTTTGACGTTTTTTTTAAGTGATGTGAAGGGCCTCATACAGCACCGACGTGGCAAAATCAGTCAACTAAGATAGTCTTTCAGAAAAAATTGACAAGACCCGAGCCAAAGACAGGCTGGTGACCGCAAGCGGCGAAGAGATGGAAGATGACGAGGACGAGGACGAGGACGAGGACGAGGACGAGGACGAGGACGAGGACGAGTACGAGGATGAATAGAAACTGAGGAAGAGTTTACTGGATGAGGCCGTCAGGAGATGATGAAAGTAGAAAAGTTGATGATAATCTGAAGGAGAGGGAGGAGGAGATATCTTCAACACCTTGATGATAGCGCAAGGTCTTGTTCTTTCTTACCTTTCGTTAGTTCCCTCCCATGAATGTCGTCGAGCTGCGGAGATACCTCGCCTTCACTCTTGGGTCCATCGCGATCAACCACGTGCTAGGGTTGCAGGTCCTTTCCCCTCCCCCCTCGCTCCTCCTCCTTCTCAAACCAACCATTCTTCTTTTTCCTTCTCTGTCTACTCCTCCTCCCCCCCTGAGAGATCCTCCCTCCCCATCCCCTCACCTCACCTTCCCTCTTCTCTTCGCCTCTCGCTCTCAAGTCTTTCGGTCAGATCGTCATGGCTCTCTCCTCCGCCTTCTCAACGCTGCTGCTCTCCCTCGTCATCACGTCAGGCATGCGAGAGCTCCCGACGTCGCTCAAGGTCTGCCGACCTTCTCCCTCCATTCGGTTGAGCTCCTGCAGGAGAAGGAGGAGGAGCAGCCGCAACAACTCATGCAGGCGAAGGAGGCGGGCCAGCAAGTGCTGACATCGCACATGGCATTGAAACTTGTCTTCAAGCTTCCGGCCCTGGTGATGCGCTCCCCTCCCCTCCCCTTCCCTGCACTGCCCCTCCCCACCTCCGTCCTCCTCAACATCCTCAACAGACGCTGGCGAGGAGGGAGAGAAGCTTCTTCTGCGAATGGGCGGCGAGGGTGAGGGCGAGGAGGTAAAAGAGGAAGTGAGAGAGGGGGAGGTGAACTCACGGGTGAGCTTGACGTCAGTCTGACCTCGAGGGTCACCAAGGAGAAGGCAGAGAAGCGAAGGAAGGAGACGCTGAGCGAACTGCTGCAGGCCTGGCTCAGGTTCTCGTTCCTCACCACGACCAACCTGACGCCATTCACAGCGTGAGGAGAGAGAATGAGCGGAAGAGACTGCTGGAAGCGCTCAACACTTCCTTCGAGGAGACGAGGTGAGAGGAGGAGGAGGAACAGGAGGAGGAGGAAGCGAGCTGTGGACATGGCAGGCAATTGCGAGAGCGAATGAGGGAAATGGAGCGATCTCTGTGTGAAAGCAAGATCATGAGCCAGCAGCTGCATCGACCCGCGACTTGCTCCTCCTCGTCTCAGACTTCTCAGACTTCACCCTCATGCCTCGACGCTCACACACAAACCGTCAAGGGCGGAGACGAGAGACAACAACCAGACCAGCCGGTGCTGGGAAATCCGCAGATGTGGGTAGACCAGCCGGTGTCGGAAGATCCGGTAGGGCTTGTCCTCCTTTGATGCTCTGCAACTGATGAGGTTCAAGTCAATCAGCGAGCGAGAGGAGGAGAAAGAGAAGCAGACGAGGGAGAGGGAGAAGCAGGAGGAGAAGCAGGAGGAGAAGCAGGAGGAGGATGAAACGCATCGACTTCGGCTGCGGTGACGGCGAGGAGGTTGTTGTTTCGTGCTGGTGACGACGTGAAGGCTGGAGGAGCTGCAGGCGCTGATCAAGCAGAAGGATGACGAACTGCAGATGAGCAGCCGAGAAGTGAGAGGGGGAGGAGGAGGAGGAGTAAGAGGAAGGCCGGGGGTGGAGAGAGAGAAAGGAGAGTGGGGAGAGAGTCTGAACTTGGGAACAGGCTGCTAACCTGAGAAGAAGTCTGAGTTCCTCTCAGCATCGACCTGAGACTGTAACCCCTCGCCGCCATCCTCCTCCTCCTCCTCCTCCTCCTCCTCCTCCTCCTCCTCCTCCTTACGTTTGATCCACCGCTGCTTAGGCTTCCCTTCACAACAACGAAGTCTCCACCCTAGAGGTCCAAGCATTGACGGGCCAGCCGGCC